CGAAAAAAATAGGAACGAAAAAGCAGCAGCGACCGGTCTCAGATCAAGGGATGAAAAAAAGGAGCAGCGACCAGCTAATCAATAGTGATGGTGGTCGCTCCTTCGGAACCGGAGGGAATAGAAAGTGGGTATGGAGGAGGAAAAGGAGGAGAGAGAGAGGGCAAAGGAGGGGTCAAATCAGAAGGCTCGCGAGCCTGCTGCCGAAGAAGGGAGGGATCCCGGCGCTGACTTTGATGATCCCGTTCCACGCCGTCGAATGCCAGCGGTTTTGCCCTCGGCCGACTCTCCTCGTGCAATAGCTCATCATCACGATGCTCGCGTGGGGAGTCTTGCTCCTGAGCCCCCTCCTGTGATGCATCTCTCCCTCTCCCTCCCCCTCCCCCTCTCCTCTCTCTCAATGACGAATCTTCGTCTCCATCGTCCTCCACGTTCCCCGACGCGCTCTTGCTTTCCGTGTCCTGGATGACCGCCGGCCCGAAAATGCTGTCCCGATCGAGCATTGCCTCGTTGGCCGCGTGCGCTTTTGCCGTCGGCAGGATGGTTGGAAAATCGGTGTCGTCAACGCCAAATGGATCCGCAAGGGCGCAGCTCAAGTCCCGCAGTCCTAAGATAGCCGTGCAGAGTAATGCGTAAACGACGATGGTGAAGAAGCTGTCGTAGAAGATGAACGAGTAGCCTATCAGCACCAGCTCGCCAAGGGTGAGCAAATTGGCCAAGTGGTAGTAGGCGAAAGGCACAGGGTTGCTTGCGTAGGACGTGATGACCATCACGAAGTAGGAGAGCCGATGGATGTCCTCCTCGAAGAGGCCGTAAGTTACGGTGTCGATGTCGCCTCGTCGAACGTGTTGGCCCAACATCTCCGTGCTGAAGGCGAGAGCTTCGCCCATGATCTCCGGTCCTGTCTTGGACTGCAGCATCAACCTCTCCTTCTCTGTGATGAGATTGCACTTCGTCAGGTACTCTAGTCCCCATTTGTCAATCTTCTGCTGACTGTACCTTGGAAGACGGAAGTAGAGACAGTAATGCGCGACGACCAGCGTTCGTAGGATGGCCCGCATCGAATGGTCGGCTCCAGGGAAGGGATCCCTACGGAAGAACGCGCGCAATCGACTGGTCAAGAATCTAACCCTGCTCTCGATCTGACGGGCCATGAAGAATTGCTCGATGTACCGATTATACGCCTGGTTATTGTAGAAGACGAGGACGAAGACAAGGAGAGGGGCCAAGATAAGGAACATCTCGTTGGAGATACGAGGCCACGTGGTCTTGGGTAAGCCATTGCCAAGACGCAAGACCTCGCCGTTAGAATCCAAGCACCTCCCTTGGGCACGAAAGATCGCAAGAAGCACCACATGCAAAGACATCAACGAGTAAAAGTCGACGGAATAAACGACCATCTTCACCGACGTCGAACGAAACTTGAACAAGTTTCGAATCGGACGCTCCACGGAGTAGGGATCCAATCCATGGGGTTGGAAAGGACGAAGGAACGCATCGGATTTTACATAACTAACGTAGTCCTGAACCCTCTGCATATCTTTTGTGGAGCCGGTCACACAGCTCAATCCGCGCCCCATCGCCGCCTCTCCAGGCTTCTCTCGGCCTCCCATACCTCCTCCTCTTCCTCCTCCTACTTCTCCTCCACACCCTCTCCTTTTCTCCAGCCTCTTGAACCCTCTTCTCCTCGAAAAAGTACTACTAAAGCTCCTGCTCTCTCTCTCTCTCTCTCTCTCTCTCTCTCTCTCTCTCTCTCTCTCTCTCTCTCTCTCTCTCGTGTGTGTGTGTGAAACCCACGCTCTTTGTCACCAACTTGTGATGAAGGTCGAGAGAGGTAAAGACAACTCT